GCAAGTAAAGCATAATAAATTACTAAGCACTGGAATAAAAGTTGATAAAACAGTAAAATAAAGATTATTACAGGACTTTAAAATAGAGTGCTCCACTAGAGAGAAGGGGACCTTATAGTCCTTGGCTAATTCATTTTAGCTGTTACCATGCCAACTGAAATTAGAAGAAAATTAGGCTCAAAGAAAGCTGCTTTGGCACTAAGCAGAGTTCATTTAAAAGTGATGGTTTTTCTAAATTCAGAATAATGACCTAGTGTGATAAGTCTACCTCATGAGTTCCACAACCTCCCCAACTTGAAGCTACAATACAATGAATTTTTAAAAAAAACTCTTCTGGGGCTAGAGAAATAGCACAGCGGGTAGTGTATTTGCCTTGCATGTGGCCAACCCAGGTTCGATTCCCAGCATCCCATATGGGCCCCCGAGCACTGCCAGGAGTAATTCCTGAGGGCATGAACCAGGAGTAACTCCTGTGCGCCGGGTGTGATCCAAAAAGAAAAGAAAACAAAACAAAACAAAAACCCTCTCCTTCTCTCCTTTATGGGTTAAAGAAGCTCATATATCTCTTTTTTTTTAATTTTTAAATTTTATTTATTTATTTTTATTTTTTTTATTTTTAAATTTCTATTAGTGAAACACCATGAGGTACAGTTGTAGACTTACAGATTTTGTGATTGGGTTTCAGTTATACAATGATCAAGTACCCATCCCTCTACCAGTGCCCATTTTCCACCACCACGGGTCCCAGTATCCCTCCCACCCCCCATCCCTCCCATCCCACCTTGCCTCTGTGGCAGGGCATTCCCTTTTGTTCTCTCTCTCCTTTTGGGTGTTGTGGTTTGCAAAAGAGGCATTGGAAGCTTGTATATCTTATGTGTTTTATTTAATTTGTTAAATAGAGTTAACAAGGAGAAATATTTACTGAAAGTCACATTGTGGGAATATTTTCCATGTGTCTTATAACAGGTGCCATAGTTTTAGAGGAAGTTTTAGTGGGTATAAGGAAGGACCTTTGACTTTAAAAGCCTTGAAGGTTCTACAGGGCCTGTACAGGGCTTAGGAGTTTGTCTTACATGTGGCAGGTCCCTGCTACTTTACTACTTGAAATAAGTCCTAAGCACAAAGCCAGGAATAGCCTTCGAACACCACTAGCCCCAATCCAAGAAAGCAATCTTAACTCACTGTGCAGTAGACTCAGAAGTGAACTGATTATTTGTTCTTTTGGTTTAATTGTCCTGGAAGCCATCCCCACCCAGTGATGTTGGTGTGCAGGATGTGATAGAGTGAGTTCAGGCTCTCGACTGGGAAAGTCAAGTGTTCTACCACTTGAACCTCATCCTTTACAAATGTGTGTTAATCACTCTGCCTCCAAAACACATTGCAAATTCGGCAGTTCTCATTGATACCTTTATCGAAGATGTCTCTCAACCACTATCCTGACTTTCTCAACTAGTAGAGTCTTCATACAGATACTGGTTAAATATCCTTAAGATAAGTCAGGGTTAAGTTAATATAATAAGTTAATTTAAGATAATATAATAAATTGAGATAAGTTAAGTTAATAAAATATGTTAAGATAAGTCCGAGTCAGTGACAGCGTAGATGTGCAGTTAGAGGAATTAATCCAGCCTTCTCAAAGGATGCCTTTCTAATTACTCAGGGTCCCAGCATTCAAACTTGGCTGTGTATATACATAAAACTGCCATTAGGAAAGAAGAAGTCATGAAATTTGCTTATACATGGATGGGCACAAAGAGGACATGCTGAGTGAAATGAGACACAGGGAGAGGGACAAACATAGAATGATCGTACTCATTTGTGGGATATAAAAAAATACATAGTAGGTGACTAATACGCAAAGACAGTAGAAACAAGGGCTGGGAGGACTGGTCCACGGTATGAAGCCTCCCACGAAAGGGGGAGGGGGAACTCAGTTAGGACAGAGAAGGGCCCACTGTGACAATGACAGTTGGAAATGATCACTCTGAATAAGGACTGCTGAAAGGACGTACAGTGAGATACGGAACCTTTCAGGGGACAATACTGCAAACCACAGTGCCTAAAAGAAGAGAGAAAGACAGAGACAGAGAGACAGACGACAGAGAGAGATAGAGACAGAGAGAAACACAGAGAGAGAGAGTGAGAAGAGAGCATACAACATCATCATCATCACGGTCCTCCCGTTATTCATCAATTTGCTTCAGCGGGCCTAGTAACATCTCCATCGTGAGACTTGTTGTTACTGTGTTTGGCATGTTGAATACGTCACGGGGAGCTTGCCAGGCTTTGCCATGCGGGCCAGATACTCTCGGTAGCTTGCCGGGCTCTCTGAGAGGGGTGGAGGAATCGAACTCGGGTCGGCCATATTGGCCGATTGCAAGGCAAATGCCTTACCCACTGTGCTATCGCTCAGAAAAAATATCTGCCATTGAGGCAGGCTGTAGGGAGGTAGCGGGAGGGAAACAGGGACATTGATGATGGGAAATGTACATGGGTGAAGGGGTGGGTGCTGAAACACAGTAAGACTGAAACCCAGTCATGAACAACTTTGTAACTGTGTATCTCACCTTGATTCAATTTTTTTAAAAGTGTTTTTAAAAAATTGACTTTGGGGCTTTACAAATCACTGATGCTTATTTCTCATCTATAAAATAAAATGTTACAAAAGATGTTATTTTATTAGTATAAATATAAGATAGACATCAGGATTTAAAACATTGCTCCCCCATATAATTCTCCAGTGTGACAACATTTTATACCATTACTGGATAAATTATGGAGACAAAAGTTGTGCTTCAGATATCTGAATGTGAAGTTACTTCCAAATATTTTGACTTAACAAGACCGCAAAATCATCATGAGCTTGTTCTTTAATATCCAGGGCTTCTGTGGTAAAATTCAGATTGATAACCCTCTCTTCATCAAACTATCCTAACCCGCTTCCCTAGCTACCAAATCTTTGGTCGATAATGTTCTTTCTTGGACTTCTACTGCTAAACTTGTGAGTTAATATTAAATCTACAGAAACTTAACATATTTGAATAATCGCATAAAGCTATTAATTAGACTTGATAAATTACTTTATTCAATATGATGAGGACCAATTTTAGTTCGTCTGATCTTTTTCTTGGTCAAAAAATGTTTTTTTTTCCCCAGCAAGGGACAGTGATAGAGAGAATACTGACAATGACTTTTATCTAGTATTTCTCTTCTCTGACCTGGATCTTCCAGAGCACATTACATGGGAGAGGGTTGATGTATTTTGCTTTTCACAAATGATATTGACTCAATTCTTATAAGAAAAATCCTGTGAAACAGAGTCCAATTAATTGGCTTCACTTTTACTTATCTTCAGAAAGTGAGGGAATTTCATATATCCCAATTTTTACTCAAAGCTCAAGGTAGAAAAAGAACAATGCCATTCACATCTGCATCATTTGCATCTTGCCTTACTCATTCACTCAGAGGGCTTTCTGCCCACAGCACAAAGCTCGTTTCTACATACCAATTTTAAGTACATTTCACTTTCTTTGAGTAGGCGTTCCATAGAAAGTGCATTGCTTTGTAACTAGAAGGAGGAGAGGTATCCTGGGGACAAGGTCTAAGGGTGGAACAAAGACGGGGAATGGACTGCTCGAATCTCTAGATGGTTCTCACAACCACAGAGACCAACTGCTCCTGACAATCTGCTGAGAACACAATGGTGTGTTAAACTATAAAGCATCAATCAATCATCATCATCATCATCATCGAAATAACATGAATATTAAGTCAAATCTTTAAATGTAATTATATATATTTATTTCTCAGGATTACTTTTGCAATGTAAGTGAATGTTGTCCTGGCAGGTGAACACACATAACTCTTGGAAAATCTGAAACCACAGATTGTCGAACCTCAGTAGCTTTTAGAGACTACTAGTATCTTATTTTGCAGCTAAGGGGGAGTTTCTTAGAGGGAGGATGACCTGGAAAAAGTGCTCAAGGCCTATTCTGGCTCTGAGTTCAGAGGTAACTCCTGGCTGGGCACAAAGAACCGAAGGTGATGCTGGGGATCAAACTGAGGTCAGTCACAAGCAAAGCAAGAGTGTAACCTCCCCGTACTATCTCCCTGCTCCCAGGAAAGAACAACTTGATGGAGATCTGATGACTTGAACAGAGATTTCGGATGATGGATGGTTCTATTTTAGGTGCATAGAACATGTCACAGTTCTCTATATTCCCACACTTGGCCTAATTTACTAAATGTTACAGCCTTTTCTTAATATCCTGAGAGTGCGAATGCTAAACAGATAAGAGGAACTGGAAAAAAACAATACACATCAAAAGCTAAACAACATTCTACGAAAGTCACTGTTTTATGTTTCTGTATATAATAAAATGGATGTAGGGATTTAGTAAACATTATTTTAAAAGTCACCAATAGAAATAATACTTATAATATGTCATATAGAATAAGTGCAATCAGTAAATGCTTGTGAACACTGATCCTCAGAAACCAACAGGAAATCTCAAATGTGTAAATTCTATAAGTTTACTTCATGTGCGCATTTCTTTAGGGGTCTTCCGAGCAGTGCTCAGAGGCCCCTCCCAGTGACTCTCAGCTAACCACACTGACAGTTTGATGCAGGGACCCAAGCTCTGGTGCTGGGTCATTGCAGTTGTGTCTGTGGATCTCACAGGACCACAGCTGCATACTGTGACACTCAGTAATCATATGGTGCTGAGGATCAAATCTGGAACTGGCTGCATGCAAGATACATGCCTGAGCCCCTGTCCTGTCTCTCTGGCCCCACATTCACTCATTCCTTAGTTGATGACTACTGACAACTTCCTGTCTCAGGTATATGAAGCCTTGGCTTAAAATGCAGAGTTTGTTGCATGTGTGTGTTTGAATGGAATAGTGCAAATTTTATGAATTTTGGCTATATTTCTAACAGGTCAAGCAACTCCCTCTGGAGGTCTTCTGCTTGGACGCCATATACCCTTCCCTCCCCTTACCTCTGACGATGAGCTGGCTTTGGTGCTCCACTGCGGCAGCCTCGTTCCGGGCGATGCAGGTGTAATTCCCGTTGTGCATCAGGGAGAGGTTGGAAATCCGCAGGGAGCTCGTGAAGTCGATATTGTCAATGGTGACTCCCAGGCTGGCTGGGATTGGCCGCCCGTCTTTCTGCCAGGTGATGGTGATGGGTAAGTCCCCTGAGACCACAACACATGGAATGAAGACTCGCTGTCCAATAGAGAATCTCGGAAACTCAAAGGGTTGTATAAAAGGTGGAACTGGAAGAAAGGAGAAGAATCAAGGTACTAGAGGAAATGTGATAAGGGATGCCCTGCCCACCCCAATCCCATTTTCTTTGACTCCTTCTTGATGTCATTGCAAGGGAAAGAATCAATGCTTCAGCATGTGAATCCACAGACTGGTGGAAGATGTAAAATTGCCCTCATGTACTGAGATTTTCCACTGAACTTGCTAGTTTTAAACCATATGGGACCATATATAACTAAACGTGGAGGTTGCACAAATCTGTTTCAAAATAAATCTCCTGGTGATTTCCTGAAAGTCAGCATCTTATTTGTATACATATTTGTTTTTGTTTTGGGATCACACCCAAGGGTTCTCAGGGCTTACTCCTGGCTCTGTGTTCAGGGATCACTCATGAACCAGACAGGGTGCTGGGGATTGAACCTGAGTCAGCAGCATGCAAGGGAAATGCCCTACTCTCTGTACTATTGCTTCACCTCCTGTATACCTATTTTATATGCCTATATACCTGGAGTTCCATAAAAATTTCTCGGACCCAAGGGGTCATGGATGGGAAAAAATTTAAGATGCCCTACTCTGTAGAAAAGCAAGGCTTGACTGCTGATCTTCAGCAAATAGACCTAATTTATTTTGATCATTTCTTAATGTTTCCTAATAAGTTTTGAACAAAATAAGTACTTCCAACTTTGTGCTCTGCCATACAAATATGATAAAAGGAGAGTCTGGGTGTTCTCCCATAGAAACCTTTTGTGCATTATGTGTCTGGAGCAGATTATTCCTGCTTTGCTAACACAACCCTACAGTGAGGACTGTGTGCTTTGACAACTTCATGTTTTGCTAATAGTTGTACTTTAAACGTGCTGAAGAAGCAAGTGTGAAACATTTTTCATTCTCAATATCTAACTCGGAGCACATATGAATAAATGTTCTTTTAGAATAATCACCTCCTCAGTCTGCACCCCCTGGATTTACTCATATGTGGCCATGCCCTTAAATTGCATGCTGCTCTCTGGCCAATTTTCCGAGTAGTTGAGATATGCAACTAATAAGAATAAGGTTATAGCCTTCAGCCTGACCATCTGTGGACATAGCATTGCTAGGTTTGGAAAGTCTCTTCCTGGCTTAATTTTCCTGATAAACTCTTTTTTCTCTTTTTTGCTTTTTGGGTCACACCCGGTAATGCACAGGGGTTACTCCTGGCTTTGCACTCAGGAATTACTCCTGGCGATGCTCAGGGGACCATATGGGATATTGGGAATTGAAGCCAAGTTGGCCACATGCAAAGCAAAAGCCCTCCCCGCTGTAGTATCATTCCAACCCCTAACCTCTTAATTTTCCCCTCTTTTCTGAGACCTGCCTTTCCTCCTAAATGCCTCACAAGGTCCTGGTAATATAAAGTGGTTCAAATGGCTCCAGAGAGGTCAAGTGGCGATTCTGCCTCTGTTAACTTATTTGCTATGGGGTTGCAGGCATTTTCTCTATTCTGTCCCAATAAACCCCATATAATGGGTCTTCTCCATGAATAGGAGAGTCCACTTCATGTTGGGGGAAGAAGAGACTCAAACATGTCCCTCTCTTCTTGGCAGTGGAACTGCATCAATACTGAGTGAAAGCTCACACTTTGACGTTGGGTTTCTCAACGCTTAGAACTAAGCAAGGTGGCAAACTAAGATTGTAAAGCTCTTAATAGCTGACTAGAGATCACTTCTACACCTGGTGATTTTATAGATGAAGTGAGTAAATAACAGAATGTTTGCAGAATTTATTAGTCAAGTCAGTGACCACGTCGTTTCATTTTCCAACTTTGGGGAGAAGTATGGGATCCAGTTGAGAAACAACAGGATGGAAACTCACTCACTCACTCACTCACTCACTCACTCACTCACTCACTCACTCATTCTTCCAGAGCATTCAATGAGCACTGATAACATGCTCAGTAACATTGTGTGGGCCAGGCAGAGAGCAATGAACGATATCAGCTCTGCCTAGTGGAACTTAATGCAGAGTCATAGGTGATGAATACCAACAAAGAAGCAATTCCCCTATTTACTATAACAGTGACAACAACTACTACAACTCATACTACTTCTGTACTCTTTAGAAATAAGTTGGGGTCTAGAACTCAAAATTGAACATGCCAGCGGCAGGAGCAATAGTATAGCAGGTAGGGCATTTGCTTTGCACACAGCCAATTTGGGTTTGATCTCAGAATCACATATGGTCCCCAATGCACCACTGGGGGTAATTCCTGAGTCAAAGCCAGGAGTAACTCCTGAGCACTGTGAAGTGTGCCCCCCCCCCCAATGGAAAGTACCACTATAGTAGTAAGAATTAAGAACCAGTAGCTCAAGTTAGGGCTCACCAGAGAAATAAATAAGCCAACAAGTAGGTAAAAATAGTGAAGAGATAGAGAATTGCATCCATGTCAGAGCTGCTATGGCTTCTCCAGAGATGGCTGGAGTTTTAGGTCTGTAATAAGTCATTCTGAGAAGGCCGATGCAGGCAATACAATGAAAACCTGTTCTCTGACTACTCCAGCAAGCTATTGTCCAAGATTCTACTCGCAGTGTATCATCGGATGACTTGTCTGAGCAGCGTGATTTATGCACCTGCCTGTTTCCTCAGGAAGACTAACCCAGAGGACTAGGGACATTTCTGTTTCTTACAAGTAGTGAAATAAGTCACGTTCTGGACACTTTTTTTTCTTTTTGGGTCATACCTGACGATGCTCAGGGGTTACCCCTGGTTTTACACTCAGGAACCACTCCTGGCGGTGCTCAGGGGACCATATGGGATGCTGGGAATTGAACCCGGGTTGGCCATGTGCAAGGCAAACACCCTACCTGCTGTGCTATTGATCCAGCCCCATACTCAGGACACTTTGATTGCAGTACAGTTCAGTTCATGAACCTAAGTTTTGGAGTTGATGATGGTTGTGTGTTCACTCACATGTCAGTCCATTCTGAAGGTCTGAGCAGAAGGAGATATACCCTTCCCAGGATAAAACAATGATGAGATGGCAGAGACAAGGGGTGGGGCTTGGGGAGGTGCAATTCACAGAGAACTTAGACCCAGCACTCCCCACTACCAGTTCCACTGAGCCAACGATACTCCTTGTGAGAGGGCAAGTGGCCAGCTGGAGAGAGACTCAGACTTGGTCTTGCTGATCCAGGCACGCAGTCAGTGACAATTCCTAGATATTGTGTGAGCTGGTTCTCCTGAGCTGGGAGAGGTAAGTCAGGAGATGTGGGGCCAAGTGGCACACCATGAACTAAACTGCCTTTCTGGAGTCTGGTGCTGTTGGAGCAGGAGAGGCATGAGTTGGGAGGATGTTACATATTACATAAAGCGAGGTACGGGGGCAGCTGACGCTTCCCGCAAACAGAACCAGAAGTACATCCATGCAAGCATGGCTGATCTGTAAACCCTGTTTGGTCTCAATCCCAAACTTCCTTTGTGAGTCTCAATAAATTGATGTTCATGGACAACACAATTTGGAAAAGGCAAGATTGAGCAAGCAGGAAAGTTCTGGCCCTGCAGCTGCCGGGAAGCAGGGGGTGGGGTAGGACTTTGCCTGGTGTGCGGTGGGGACAACCGGATGGTTTGCTTATAAGATAATAGGGTGTCATGTGTGACGTGTGCACATTAGTTAAAACCCAGACAGTAGAACTGTTAAATGTGTCTGTTCTTCCTTAGGCACAGATTGGAAATTCCCCCATTACATTTACACAGTTAAGTGGGAGATTTGGGTGCTTTTAGAGAAATTTCCACTGTGGATTATGGAAAGTCTCTAAGGAAGAAGATGTTACCCCGCCTTCTTTTCTTTTTGCTTGTTTCTCTGAAAGGCAGGAGAGAATTCTACCACTGAACCACCAATGGACTGGAGCGATAGCACAGCGGTAGGGCCTTTGCCTTGCACAAAGCCGACATGGCCAACCCGAGTTTGATTCCTCCGCCCCTCTCAGAGAGCCCGGCAAGCTACCGAGAGTATCTCACCCACACGGCAAAGCCTGGCAAGCTACCCGTGGCATATTCGATATGCCAAACACAGTAACAACAAGTCTCACGATGGAGACGTTACTGGGCCTGCTCGAGCAAATCGATGAACAACGGGAGGACAGTGACAATGCCAGTGACAGTGCTCTGAAAGGCAAGTTTAATGAGCGAAACAGTGAACTGGGGTTTCAGATTACACTACCATCACCTTTCATTAAGGTGTTTCCATGGTAACCTAACCGCCTGGCCTTCTAATTTCCTTTTTTAAAATTCAGCATTTCAGTGTTTCTGAATTAACCCCAACAAGTTGAATCTTCCTAAAACATGGTTGAGGCCATGTCCCTCTGTTTCAATAATTTCCCTCACTTTAGGATGGAGAAGGAAGACTGAACACTCTAAGGTTTGATCTCTGTGTTCAGGTGAACCCATCTGTGCTCTTGTCGGAGTTTTCTTTGACTCAGCTGTGTGGAGTTGTAGAGTGGGAGGGATGGAACCTTGTCTCTTGCCCAGCGCCCACCTGATCCCCATTCCCACCCCGACGACCTAGTGGGAAAGCCCTAAATCCTGGTGTTATAATCTTTCATGCTCCAGGGTACTTTAAGATGAAGCTTGGTTTTTTTCTGGCAAACCTTTCTGGACACCAGTCCTCCCATCCCTCCTGATACTGCTCCTTGGCCTGTCCCTGTTTCCTGAACACAGTCTGCCCATCTCTGACTGAACTGTCTCTGAAATTGGAGTGTCCACTGTTCTTCCTGAACAGTTCTGCATCTTTTTCTTGCCCTGCTGCTTCCAGACCCCCCATGAGAGCCTGTGATGTCGGGTCCATCCTAGCCTCTCATCTGCATGTCATCCCACGACCAGGCCTGTTGGCAGCACCGTCCTATTATTACTTGATCTCATTAACAGCAGATTCACAGATATTAATGGAATAAATTAAATAAATCACAAGAATGAAATCTCTAAAGTGATTCTTTGAGTTAAAATTGTTTTGATGACCAAAGTCCAGTCCTATTATACC